GCACAGACAGGCATTGAACAGTATTGATCAGAACTGACCAGTAACGAAGGGCTGGGCTCAGGCCTGCACGCTGAGCTAAAAACCCCCAAAATACTGAGTATCTGCTCACTGAGTAAACATGTGCACCCAGGGCACTGATGGAGCTAGAGAAACTTAAGAAAACAAATGTACAATGAGGCAACTTAGGTCTGCAGGGCTAACCCCCAATCCGGTCCCATTTAAAGTGCTTGAATTTGGATGCTTAATGCAAGTTTCTGTTTGTCAAAGTATCATGCACTAAGGGCAGGTTTCAGGAGTCCGGTCCTGTGACTCCAACAGGTCCCTTGTGTGTTAGGGATACACAGTTTGTTTTGTGTAGGGATAAATAACCGGTGACAAAGAACTGTCTAGCTTATCGTTGGAGCTCTGTTTCTCCACCCTTTTACTGGCAGATTGCAGAGACCTGCAAAGCACCTCTGCACACTACAAGCCAGAATCCGCTTCACCATATTACAGTGTCTGAGTCAGCAGCCTTAGAAGAACAAATCTCAGTTGGATCTTTTACCCTTCTGCTGGAAATATTGCAGGATTCAATTTCTGAGATGGTTAATTCTAGTTTCTGAGTCCTAAGGCAGGTATCCCTAGTCAGAGAAGCACTTAACCATGTGCATACATGTCACTGTTCAGTCAGAACTTACTCCTGGGGTCATTTCTCTAGTATCACTTTCCAGGAAAGAAAAAAACCAAACCCTTTCTTTGCTTTGCCTTTTGGCAAAGAAGATATATGTGCGCAGCAAAATTGAAGTCAATGGGCGTTAAGCACATGCTTGAATGCTTCCTTGAATTGGGAGCTCAATTTCTAACGTGGCAGTGATTTGTAGGAAGGATACACAGAACCACGGAGGGGGTCTATTTTAAAGGTCAAACTCTCTGCTCCCATCTTATTCTGCAGCACCGTGGTGGTTACAACTTGCTTGAGGGCTCCACGAAAACCAGAGAAACATGGCACAGATGCGCCAGTCGTGACAGTAAGTCTGGATACGACTGCTTTGACAGAATATAACACGGCAGAATTAGTGCCAGCTACTATAAAAGAGTCAACAACGCGTGACATGTTTTACTCAGGTTCGCACCTGGGAACAGTGCCAGGCAGCGAGGGGAACATGACTCACGCACACACACATGCACACTCCACTCTCCTCTTTTGCCTAATGTACAGTCATCTTTTCTTGAAGGGGGTGGCAAGGAAAGTATTTTGTTTTGGCACTGCTAGGCAGAGAGCGCACCCCTCTCCCACGTGAACCGACAGTGTCGGCGGGATGTGGGCAAGTCTCTGGTCCAGGCCCTGCCTCACCACCGCGCATCCCTGTACTGGTCCTGTTTCTTGCAGCAGCAGAAACTGGAGGGAGCAGTGGGTGGAGAAGGGCATGTGGGGCATGCCCAACCCGATGGGGTATGCGCTTCACCGTTAATCACTGCGACACGAAGTGACAAGGACACCACCTGGGAAATTTCTCCGCTCTGCTGCTCGGGCTGCTGGATGCTTTATGGCAGAAAGCAGCTGAAAGAAGGTGGTTTTATAAACTAATAGTTGGAAACTACACCCAGAAGGCAGAGATGGGCATTAACTACCCCAGCAAACCAGTTAAATATCAAGGCTAAATGACAGGAGACCTAGGAGCAATTTCCTTTGTAATCCAGCCATCCATAACCAGGTTTTGGAATATCAAGTAGAATAAGATAAAATAATTGTTTTCCACGCTCTCCCCACGCTCAAAAAATGAACGAGAGCATAAACATTAGCAGCCTCTCCGAGAGGGCGAAGCTCACTTCACCCTCCTGTCTGACCGACAGCGGAACAGGCAATTCTTCCCTTACATCCTCAGCGTCGAGCCGCCAGCAACCCCAGCCTTTTAATGCACCTCCGACACGGCCAGCGGTACGACCGCTCGGCTTCGATCGGTAGCCTGGTCGTGGCAAGTGCTGGAGTCGCAAGCCAACCTCTGTGGGAGAAGTAGCGGTGCTCTGCTCCTGCGTCAGCCTCATTTCGAATGCCGTAAATATTAAGGAATGTGCTACTTCGTCCAACCTCTCAGTGCTGTCTCTGTGCGCACAGATGGGCGTTGGGAGACAGAAAGCCAAGTACAGCTAAGTGCACTGAAATGCTTTGCAGCTTTTTAAAATTTCATCCAGCATCTGAATCTGTTTATCTAACCTTTTTTTCCCTCTCCTTCCTTTTCTTTCTCACAGGATTGCTCCTACTGTGCGGATGAAATGCACCAAAATGCAAACAAGCAAAATACAGAGCGGAGTGAGATTGAATGCGAGTTCCTCCATTGCCAGATGTGAAAAGAACAAGTGGTTTGAAAACCGTAATTTATTAAAAAAAAAATACAATTTGGTACTTCTGAGCAATTTGATGATTTAATGAGCACAGATGGATGTGGGATGAATTTCTAGGAGACAAGTGTTTAATGTATCTGCTCAGATGATTCCAGGACTAAGCATTATCCTTCCTAGTGCATGAAGGTAATTAATATTTCCCATTATGGGCATGAAAAAACCCATATGACCAGTTAAGAAATTCAGATACACCAATGATATGGAAGTTAATTCATAAATCAATTAGAAAATCTTGCCTGCTGTGTATAATTAGGGCTACTTCAATTATAGCTTATTTTCGGATTTAAGACTCAGGAATTAAAATGTTTAAAATCAGAGTGAGTTCCTTACCACTACATACTGCAATTGGAAGTATTTACTCAGTTTTAGCAGTCTAAATCTATTTACTCCTGATTCCAGCACGGCTGAGCAGACACAACTAACCCATGTCCCTCTGGCTCTCTTCTGCCACTTAAAATGGTCATCAGTTAAATGTTTCACTATCCGGACCATCCTGAGGTGAACTGAGAAATTTGTAGGATATGGGACTAGCTCTGGCATATTAAATAATATGCCTGGACTTCTCTACAGTAAAGCTTTGGCAGCAGCACCTCAACAGCCAGCTCCGGGGATGTTAGGGGATGTTCTTCCCAGCTTCTTTTCATGGCTACATTTAACTAAAGGTGCAGCATTCCACTGATTTAGTTACACTGGTGCTAAATCTGGTTTATATTGATTTAGCTTTTCTTATAGCATTAATCTAAACTGATGTAGACCAAATTAAGTGTGCCTAAACAGGGACTGGTTTTTCACTCCTTTTACTAAATTGCTTTTCCATGGATTTTAAGGACAAGAGACTACTGTGATAGTCTGCTCTCACTGCCTTCATCACCATGCTGAAGGACTTCCCTGTATTTATTTCTGCTTCAAGTTTAAAGGCTGCACTTGATCAACAGCATCTCTTTTAGACAAAATGCCCAATCTAAAGTAAAAATATTCCCATGTCTGTCCTGTCTGCAGTCCCTTACAGACGGTTACCAAGTCTTTACCAGGTGTACCACAGCTCCCTGTGTCACTCACTGCAAGTATATTGTTTTAAATCTTCCGTTGTTCTTACGACGCTTTTCTGAGGCCGCTCCACTTTGCCTCAGATTTGACTCTTCTGAAATATACTGTTACTCTGTGCTCTCCTTGCCAATGCGTTGAATTAGCTCTGTACCAACGGGTCTGCCCTCTTCATCACCGACCTCCCCCTTCAGCCCTCTGTTTTGCAACAGCAAAGACTTTATGCTGGACAGCACAGGTCCAAGACCCAACTCCTGTTGGGCTACATACACACACACACAATCATTTTCTAGTGATTTCTAATCTAGAGTTAGATCTGATGCCAGTGGATCAGTTTTCAATCCACTTAAATCTGCTCTGTCGGTTGTGTACAGTTTACTCAGCAAGACATTTTATGGTAACAAACAGATACCTTAGAAGAGTTGGAGTATGTTACGGTGTCGTTGTTACCTTCACAACCGAATTTTAGCCTGCATTCAGTAAAACACTGTGTAAGGTACGAACTGCCCTGCCGCAGCCCTTCTTATCCCCTGCATCATCTGCTCCAAGACCCCAACTGGATTCAGGGTCATGTGGCTTGCCCAGTCCATTCCCTTCAGCCTCTTTCATACACTCAAACAAAAACAGTTTCTTTCAAACTTCTGGAACTTTACTATTGTCCCAAAAGTGTTTTAAATATCAACTCCAGAGAGTACTCTAAAGTGCTTTTCGAAAACTCTGATGCTTTTGTAAAAAACATGTTCTCCTCAGTCACTTTTTGAGTGGAAAGCATTTCAATAGCATCGTACCAGTGCATCATCTGTTCCCTTCCCAGTCCTTAAACTGCAGTGTTGTAGAAGATATTTACCTGAAGCCAGTATGACTCTGCACATGGAGACCTAGCTCTTTTCTGTACCCCTGTTTCCAGTCAGTTATCTCTCTCTCCATCTGCTTTTGTATTTTGGTGTTCCTACTCTATTCTTTTTGGGTTTGTAAGGTCAGTTACTCTAAGGTACCAAGGTGCAGAGCAGGCTGCTGCAATGAAGTCCAGAACCATTGGTACGTTCATTTGTCTCTAGAAACAAGCTACATTTTTGGTAACAGGTCACTGAAGATGACTGTAAGTATCCTAAACAAGGAGAATTTGAAACAGTCTTTGGTATTGCAGAACCTGCCAGAAAGGTCCCTGAGGAGCAAACACATTGACTCTGTTGCCCCCAGGCAGGAAGCGCCACACGACATCTCCGTAAGTTTACTAAAACACAGGGATCCCACTTAAAAAGTGGCATTTGCCAACAACCCTTTGGGCTCAGAAAGCACTGCTATCCTTCAGATTTAGACCAGGGCTGTATGGTGTCATGGACAGGTGCTGCTCACCATTTTTTTAACCAATGAACATCAAACCTGCACTGTGTGTCAAACAATTTTCAATGGCCAGATGCATGTAAGCCCCGTCTTCCTAAAAGACAGCTAAGCCACCTACAGTCAACCCACAGAGCAGCAGAACTGCAACAACCCTTGAGCAAGTTAAACTTGCAGCCCTCCTCCAAATGCTCCCTGAGGATGCAGGTGACCTCAGGAGATCCACAGCTTACCTTTCCCGGGGCAAAGGCTTGGGCTCTGGCCGAATAGCTGCCATGGAAGACAGGGGCTGCCTGGCAGGAGAAGGGATGGAAAAATTCAAATCCAAGGAGCCTGTTTTCCTGTGCAGAGGCTCCAGCCCCATGGCTCCCTGCATTTCACTCTCGATAGGGCATGAGCCGGCCCTGCCGTGGCTGGAGAGGGAGGAGAGCTCGGGTCCCACTGCCCCTTGCAGGACTCCTTCGATGGCTGCCTGGGCGTCATGGGTGGGGGACACGGATGGTGGGGAGCGTGACTTCTTTTTTGTTGATGCTCCTGCCAGAAGTTTCAGCAGCCCGCTCTTCTTCTCCTTCTGCAAAGGAACCAAACAAAATACGGGCTGTGAGTAGACATACCAACTCCCTTCATTTTTCTTTTGGAAAATCTCAACGTGCATGGCAGGAAACCTCACAAAACTGCCATGACTAGAGGTGGATCTAGGTAGAACCTGAGCTTTCGGTAATAAAGATCCTATGAAATCCCTCCCCATCCAACAGGGCTTCAACTCATTCAGCAGAGTAAGGACCTGACATACTGCAAAGATTATCTCCATTTTCAAATCCACCCAGGCAGTGATCATGCGCCTTTTGAAAGAAACAGTGCAGTTACAGTGGGACAGCAAAGGTACAAATATCCCATGCAGAGAAGGCAGCAATCGAAGTGCTGCCCTGTCTCTTCCAGGAGAATCCTGTCCCTCAACAGAGAAACGCCTCCAAAGTAACAAACCAGGCCCTATGGCTAAAACCCTCTGCTGGGAAGCACAAGGGTCTGAGGAGGTATTTCAGATCCCAGCCCATTGCAAGAGAAGCACTCATCATTACTGCCTTGTTTACTACCTGACGCAGATTTACCGCGGGGAGAACGGAGGCACAAGGCAGTGGTTTAACAGCTCTTCCCAGAGCCTGCTCCCCTGCACATCCTGCATCACACGGCTGCACCCATTCGCGTCTCCCTCCCAGAAGGGGGTCACTTCTCTTCATGTGTTAAGGTAAAAGTATCACCTTGGTGTTTGAAGATAGACCACAAAATTCACAATGGGCAACTGCAGTGGCAGTGCATGGGAGGTTTCAAAGTTCCACAAGGGTTTCTGATACAGAGGAATGAAAGCAATATAACAGCACCCTTCCAATTAATGTGAAAAAAAAAAAAGTTCAGCCTGCGTTACTGAAGAAACACATCTGAGCTTGTGCGTTTTATAGCATTTGCTGCACATTTACCTCAAGCACACACACAAATACCAAATATTACATCCTTCAGATAGAAAGTTTTTGGGTAGAGGGATTGTGTGCAGAAACTGGCTGTTGTCCGGCACACGGTGCGCAGCGCTAGGCTAGAATTGCAATCAGCAATGCTGTGAAGTAAATTTTCCATTTCTTTTTAATGACAAGTAGTTTTGCGAAAGGTCTGTTAGATTTCTTCCTCCACTGTCAGAAGTGCAAGCCATTACCCAAGGCTACCTTCAGAGACTCAAGGTTGTGAAGTTTAGCTATATTTGATAATTTGTTCTATAATAGGATCCCAAGGGATAAAAATGAACCAAGCAACTGCAAGACTTATGGAACAGAAACCATCTCTCTATCTTCAAGCAGGGACACTCTTTGGAAATACAAGCCCGCAATTTATTTATTCTCTGTAGACAAAATGCCCTATACAAGGTCTAAAATGATGCTCCTTTATGTGCTGACTGCTGAAGTATTTTCTCAAAACAGCTTTAAAGAATGGGAGGGCTACAATAAAATAAATGTAAGCTTTTAGAAGATGCTTGGATTTACTACAGTAAATGTACTTCGAGTATCTGACATCTCTGCTCCCAAAGTTCTTGTTTGCACTCTTTAGCTGTCACAGACTGGTAAGAAAACAGAAATACCTTAGATGTTAAGACATGGAAGAACTAAAATGAAGCATAGCTGTTATCACAGAGACAATGTCCACTGATTTTTGAAGAGTAGAGTCTGAACTACACTTCCAGATCCCAGTCTCCTGCATACCACCAGTTCCAACTATACACTCTGTCTAAAAGGGCATTTGTCACTTACAGGATGAAAGGATCCATCCTGCCAAGATGTTCATCCAGGCAGAATCCATGAAAGCTAAGGGAGGCTGGCCATATGGCACCATCAGGTCAAAAATACGAAATAAATTCCCCTGGAAACAACAGAAAAGCAGACCAAATGCCCCTGATTAATATCTTCTTTCCCTGATGGGAAGGGACCATTGTGGGAACTGTGGTAGGTGTGCAGGCTGGAATTCACCTGAAGCACCAGAAAAATACTTCAGCGTTTCTCTCACTCTCTAATTAAGAGATATCACTGCTGTCATCATTGTATCAAATTTTAAAGCTCTCCATGAAATTGCAAAATTCTCCTTTCCCTGTGGTGCACTGAGACAATAGCTCCAATGACCCCAACATACTGTGTCAATATGCATTTGAAGGTGCCTAAAGGTCAGTGACAGAATACAATAGCCATTGTGGGGCTCCGGAGAAACGGCTATTGTGCAGCAGTGAGCACTTTGAGCCTCTTTAATTGGCAGCTTTGCACATGCAAAGTAACTATGTGAACTAAAGCCTTGTATAATGAACAATTAATATTCCTATGTGGTAGCAGCTTTTCTAATTTTTCCTTCTCATTTAAATACCTTGGCAAATTTTCATTAGAAAAACCCTTGTGTGACTTAGACCCTTTAAGGCACAGAAGCAAAAACCTTTGGAAAGAAGGAGATGCATATATTCACACCCATCGGCACATTAAAAAGCAGAAGAGTCTGACAGCCATTCAATTTTGTGTACAAGAATGGCTTCCACTCTACACGGTTAGCCCCGGCATAAATTTTTACACTCAAGCTACTATCCCTCAGATAACAGAGAGCTATAATGAACTTGCTGATGTACCCTTTGTTCTACTTTAACAAAAGGAAAAGTAAAGAATTGATTTTTAGCCCTTCTTAGTCCGCTGAGCATTTTACTACACTTTTGAGACTAAGATCAGTGTTCTCTAAAGAGAGAAGATGACTTCAACCACTACCCCTAGTCCTGCTAGTCAAAACCTGAGGAGTGCCATCCTTCTCATCATGGCCTTGGGCAAGACATTTAGAGGTGAACTGATACTAACCACTCCGGGTGCCTGGAGATTAGACATTACATCCAGCTCTTTCTCCCTTTGAGCCTGGCAAATGCTCTCAGCCTTCTGGTTTCACATTGCCAGATCCTCTGCCGATGCTGCTCAGAGCACTTCAAGTGAAACAAGGCCTGTCAGGAGCTGATAATTTGCTGTGACGTCTCTCATGAGAAACAGATTGGGTTTGAACCTCCTGTGATCAGCAGTTCAACCTCAACTCCTTCAGGCCTCCTCCTCCCATCTGTAAAATGGGACTAAGTTAAAACTCCTCCTTGTGCCGTGGGGATTGGTTAATGACTCCAGTGTTGCAAAGCCGTACATTTCTTTGGGAGTGACTGGTTCTTTTCCATGGCTTTAATATTAAAAAAATGAAAAGATTTTGAATGGGATGTTAGTATGCAGTCCCAGTAGTGATATATTGCAAAGTCCAAGTATTATGAATTCATTTAATATTTAGTGTAATAGCAGCCATCCTTCACAAGAAATTAATTTAATATTTATGTGGCTGTCCAAGACAGTCCTTTCTTCAGCAGTTTCACTGTAAATCAATGACGCATTAATGGGCATAAATGCTGTAGAGAAATCTACACTGATTGGTTGCAGACTCTGTGGGTTTTGAAAAGAGATAAGAAGTTTACAGAGGCCATGTCTGATGACTTTCAGGAATTAAGTTTTTGAATGAAAAAAAAAAGATGGTTTACTTTTTCCATTCACAGACGGCTGCTTTATTGTTTTCTAGGAAATCTGTAATCTCCTGAAACAGCTGTGTAATTGCTGACTTTTCTTTGTCTAGTAGTTACATTTCCAATTGACTGCAAACTGTGTTTGACATCCTACCTCCTGAACCTGCCAAGGTCAGGCCTTCGCATCTGTGTTGACGGATGGATTCACAGTATGGACAGCACTTCTCTCATCTCCTGGTTACTACCCACATGTTTAACTGAATTTAAATCATCACCGTTGTGTTGCTCAGGTTTTATTCTAGGAGATTTAGAGTCAAAACTTCCAAACCATTAATTTCACAAGGATCAATACCTTGTTCAAAAAAAAGTAAGAGTGAAATGAGCTCTTTCAAAGAAATCCCAGACTATTTCTAGTTAAGAAAAAAAGGACAGTGAACACAGACAGTACAAGCAGGTCACAATTTCTTACTTCCCTAGTGCAGCCTACGCTTGAGACTCTATTCCTATGGGGTAGCACGAAGGAATCTCAGTGGAAATCAAGTCTCTGGCAGCACAAGGATGGGACGGGCAGGATTGCTGTGGCCCTGAAGCATACACCTGGGGAAGGCAGCACTTGGCCAGGTGCAAGCTCCCCTCGATATGTCACTGTGGGAACGTTTGGAAGTGAATACAGTCTGAGCTTAAGAACTAGATCAAAATTAAAGTCTCAGATATGTAAATGTTGAAATATTTTGCTTCACAGTAATTGGGGATGATTTTTCCCCTCATTAATAACCCCACTTGAAGATAATAACTAGCTCTTCTTTCAGCTTCAGAGATGAGATGAGCACAGAACGCAGCTACTTCGTTGATGAGTGAGTGATAACAGAGTCCCCTGTCTGCAAAGTAATAATCATGCCATAATCCAAATACCAATTATATGTACTGGCTATATTAATACAGATCTTATTTTTTATTTTTAAACGACCCTAATAAACAGAAAATTCTGGTTTAGTTTTCTTCATCTGCAGCTCCTAATACTTAATTTCCTACCTATCCAGGCTCATTAAATAAATGAGGAAATCTTACTGCAGCTGATAGAAAAACTGGCTCCAGCCATTGAAATGAGGTAATTTCTCATGCAACACCAGTTACATCAATAGATAAGAGAGCCAGAGGGAGAAAAAAGGTTTCATTTAAAGCGAAGAAAAGAGAAATAAAACTGTTTAAATGCTGCCCTGAACCCTACAGAACAAATGAGGAACTCATCCATCAGTCAGTACCCCCAAACCACCACTTTTATTGCTTGTTTAACTTGGTCTGTACTTATTTCAGTAAATTTAAGTTAGTGTCTGAAGAACAGTGCATTTTTGTTCCGATTCCAACTTGGCTACTGGTGATTGATGCTTGCACTGAGTGATATTCTGGATTATATCTCTTAGGACAAAAGCTGTTTGGGTTTTTAAAACCTGTAAAATTATTTGACTTGAGATTTTGATAATTATTTAAAAAGCACAAAAACCAAACCAGTATCA